TTAACAATTAGACCTCGAGGTCGAGTGGACTACGAGCTAATAGCCCATGAGGCCGAGTCCGCGAGGCCGAATGGGCTATTAGCTCGTAGTCCACGAGGCCGAGAGGTCTAATTGTTTTAGTATAAACATACTAATCGGTCAAATAATGAAAACAAATTGAAATATCCTTAAAATAATTTATAATTTATTTATTTTGATTTTCCCGCGAGTGGTCTATCACAAATTAGACCATTAGTAGAGTAGCCAATCACAGCGCAGTATGAGTGATAGACCATTAGTATGTTTATACTAAACAAAATTAGTCAAACTATAAAAAAATGAAAGCACTTCATCCTGCCACAATAATCAGTTTTCATATACRTGAAAAATGAAAACCAGTCAAAAAGGGGAGAGTATATTCAAGTAGACTCTTGCAATAGGCAATGTGCGGCAACTTCATTTTGCGCAGCAAAGCATGATGGTAGTTGTAGTCCTCTCACTTATTATAGACCCAAACATATCTCCTTAAAAGACTTTTTTACGTTGTCTTTGTAGAAATAGCAAAACAACATCTATTTTGCCTTAGGAAAAGCAAAAGAATTTTAGAAGGACTGTTTTAGCGGATGAAAACGTACGAGGACTACAACTACCATGATGCATTGCTGCTCAAAATGGCGTCGCTAAACATTGCCTATTGGATCAAGAAAAAAATTACACGCAATGTTTATGCTTAAAAGTTCACTTTTTTCCTTCCTTTCTCCCAGAATATCCAAAGTTAACAAACTGCCACTTTTATTGAAATTCACGAACTAATTGATTGGCTACAATTTTTTTATGAAAAGGAAATCTGTTGTGTGCACAGTATTTTTGCAAGAAACTGTAATCTAAGCTCTGAGTGAACTGAATGGAGTGCAATTAACATACTTCTGCTGTTAACTACTAGATCCATGTTTGTTATAAAATTTTTAGGTTCAAATTATTCAAACCTCATTAAATATTCATAATCCCTATCTATCCCTAGTTATTTATTTATTTATTGAGTGACTGACTGACTAATTGATTGATTCATTCATACATTTGTTTATTTGTTTATATGTTTATTTTTTATTTATGTATATTGCATTAGTGAATATTATTGTACGTGGTTCCTGTTGCAGTTTTTTTTGTCGGCCGGCTAAAAGTATAGCTCCTATGTACTCGCAGCTAACTCTATCCAACAATTTGGAATAACCTTATGTAACCTTCACGTTGCTATCATGTAAAAAAGAATGTGTTATGTTCGTTTTTTCATAATGCGTACCTAAATGAAATGTTTAACTAAATTAGGTCAATGCACAGGTATGGTAGGTGCCCTACATGCCACCCAGGCGTAATAGGATTGATGATGATAATGACAGGTAAGAACTGGCTGCTAGAATGAGCAGTTCATAACAAAATACTATCTCACAAACAATTAATAACAAAATAATTTTCAAATAGAACAATAAAAAAGAGAGACATCGGACCTTCTAAGCTTGTGGGGGGTTCGTCCGAGCCCCCCGAACACCCCCCCCCCATTCTACGGGCCTGGGGACTATGGTTCCAAAGACTAAAATAGCGCATTGTTGGCCGTTTTATCGCTGTTTAATAAACAGTGATAAAGTGGTTTTAGAGATAATAGCCAGCTACGTGCAGTGAAAAAGTTCAGTTGAAAGCTATTAAGGGACTATTACCAGGAGGGAAGGGGACGTAAAACCAGAGGGCGGGCATTTCATAAAATTGATGGCAAGGTAGGGGGATTAAAGTAAAATTACCTAATT